ACAGAATCCCAAGCTTTGTCTAATTAGACTCCTCCTTTGACTCCTGATGATAATAGGGCTGGGGGGGGGGGTAAACTTATCATCTCCTCATTTAAATGTAAGCAGTTTATCCCTGCTTTGCCCTTTACTTATTTGTTCGAGTTTACATTTTTATGTTTCTCTTCACTCTTGTGTTTGAGCTTCAAAGTTTCCCAACTAGCTCTATCTAGTCTTTTCATCAAAATGCTTAGAAGTCCTCTGTCTCACTGAAGGTACATTTACCTCCTGTAACATTATACTCATTTTTTCTGGGCAAGTTATTTTTGGGTGTAAACCCATATCTTGTGCCTTCTGTAATACCATATTCTAAGTTGTCTGCTCCTTTACAGTGGTGTCTGCTAAATTAATGTGATCTTGACTCTGGCTTGTTGGTACTTGAATTCTTTCTTTCTGACTGTTTGCAGTATTTTTTCATTGACCTGGAAGCTGTAGATTTGGGCTATGATGTTCTGGAGTTTGCATTTTGAGTTTTCTTTCAGGAAGAGACTGGTGGATTCCTTCTATTTTTACTTTGCCCTGTGGTTCTAAGACCTGGCCATTTTTTTCTTTTATTTTATTCTTGTAATTTTATAGTATTTATTATGTCTTATATATTATGCAGTATGACATCAACATTTTTTGGGTTAATTTTGTCCATATTTTTGTATGTATGCATATATGTACATGTTATCTCTCATGCTTCTTTCATTTGTATTTTAACCATGTCATTTTATTCAGCCTAGCTTTTTTTTCTTGTCAGTTTATGCTTTTAAAAAAAGCCTTTAAAATTATTATTTTTTAAGCATTTTTTAAAAATTTTGTGTTCCAAATTCTTTCCCTCCTCTTCCGCCCACAGAGAAGGCAAGCAGTATATCAATTATGCATGTAAAATCATGCAAAACATTTCCATATTAGCCATATTTTTTTTTTCAAAAGCCAAGTAAAATACGAGTATAGATAGCTTTGATTTCTTTTGAAAACTGCCTATTTATATCCTTTGGACATTTATCATAAATTGGAGAAAGATTCTTATTTTTACAAATTAGGTTAAGTTTTATTTCAGTGTATATTTGAGAAATGAGGTCTTTATCAGAGAAACTTGCACTAATTTTTTTGAAAAATGTTCTTTGTCTTTGGTCCCTTTTATCAAAATGTAGTTTCATGATAATCCCTTTTAATTAAGGTTTATTTTTAGCTTTTGTTTTTGCTTTGGCTGAGATCATGATTATTTCTCCTGCCTTTTTTTAATTCGGCTGAAGCATATTAGATTCTGCTATAGCCTTTTATTTTCAGTGTGTGTGTTTCTGTTTCTGTTTCAAGTGTGTCCCTTGTAAGTGATGTTTGTTGGAGTCTGGTTTCTAATCTATTCTGCTGTCTACTTTCTGTTTTTTGGTAAGCTCATCCCATTCACTTTCATAGTAAAGATTACTGTGCATTTTTTTCTGTCCCATTTTCTTCTGTTTCTCCTTCTCTCTCTTTTTATCTTGTCCCTCCTCAAAAGTCTACTTTGTTTCTAACCACTGCCTCCTTTAATCTGTCCTCCCCTTTAACATTCTTTCCCCCTTTCTCTTAGCCAATCGTCCCAATCCCCATTTCCCTATTGGGAGGCTAGATTTCTATATGAAACTGTGGGTATGTGTATATGTATAGGTATACACACATGTTCTTCTTCTTTGAATCAATTCCAATTTCTCTTTTCCTCTCCAGTATAAAAGCTCTTTCTTGCCTGCCTTTTTTATGTGAGATAATTTCCCCCATTCTGCCTCTCCCTTCCTCCTTCTTGCAGTGTATCCCTCTTTCTCAGTTTTTCATTTTTTTGGGAGATCATCCCAACATAATCAAATCATACCTTTGTCCTCTTTCTGTATAAACTACTTTTAACTGCCTTAAAAATGATAAAGTTCCTAGGAATTACATGTGTTATCTGCCCATAAAGGAGTGTAAACAATTTAACTTTATTGAGTCTCTTATGATTTCTCTTTCATCTTTATCTTTTTATACTTCCCTTAAGCCTTGTGTTTGAATGTCAGGTATTCTATTGAGCTCTGGTTTTTTCATCAGAAATGCTTGAAAGGCCTCTATTTCATCAAATATCCATTTATTCCCCAGAAAGGTTATACTCAGTTTTGCTGGGTAAGTGATTTTTGGTTGTAATCCTAGCTTCTTTGCCTTTCACCATACATTCCAAGCCCTCTACTCCTTTAATGTGGAAGTCACTAAGTCTTGTGTGATCCTGACTGTGGCTCCACAGTATTTGAATTGTTTCTATTTTTGGCTACTTGAAGTATTTTCTTTTGACCCAGGAGCTCTTTCATTGGCTCTAGTATTCCTGGGAGTTTTTGTTTTGGGATCACTTTCAGGTAGATTCTTTCTTCTTTTTTTTTTTTACACTCTAGATCTATAATATCAGGGCTGTTTTCCTTGATAACTTTTTTCCCCTTTTTTAAGGCAATTGGGGTTGAGTGACTTGCCCAGGGTCACACAGCTAGTACGTGTCAAGTGTTTGGTCTGAGGCTGGATTTGAACTCAGATCCTCCTGACTTCAGGGCTGGTACTCTATCCACTGTGCTACGTAGCTGCGCCCCCTTGATAACTTCTTGAAATATATGTAGCCTCATTATTTGATCATGGCTTTCAGGTAGTCCAGTAAGTCTTAAATTATGTCTCTTTGATCTGTTTTCCAGGTCCATTGTTTTTCCAATGAAATATTTCACGATTTTTTCTTATTTTTTATTCTTTTGATTTTGTTTTATTGTTTTTTGTTGTTGCATACAGTCATTATCTTTTAGTTACCCAGTTCTTTTTGAGGAATTACTTTCTTTAGTGAGCTTTTATGCCCTTTTTCCATTAGTCCAATTCTGTTTTTTAAGATATTATTTTCTTCAGTATCTTTTTATGCGTCTTTGCCCAAGCTGTTAAGTCTTTTCTTAATTTTCTTATATCATTCTCATTTCTTTTCTGAATTTTTCCTCTACTACTATTGTCTCTTTAATTCTTCCAGGAATTCTTGTTGGGCTTGTTCCAATTAACATTTTTCTTTGAGGCTTTGTTGCTATTTTCATATTGATGTCGTCTTCTGAGTTTGTGTCTTGGTCTTCTCTGCCATTGTAATAGCTTTTCATGGTTAGATTTTGTTGTTGTTTGCCCATTTTTTTCAGCCTATATTTTGACTTTGAATTTTATATTAATGTTGGGCTTTGCTCACTGGAGGGTGAGAAGATACTCACTGTCTCAGGCTTCAGACTTTTTTGTAATGCTGTTTTTAGAGCTGGTTTGTGGGATGTGCAAGTTTTTGTTGCTTCCAAGGTGATGTGATCTGGGGAGAGATGTGGTCACTGCTCTCTTGTTCTGAATTCTTGTCTTTACCAAGGAAGGGCCCCTGATCCTCTGCAGCCACTAGAACTAGTGTCCTTCTGAGCCCTGGAACTGTGACCAGGGCCTCAGTTCGTAGCTCCTCTTTACTTTAGAACTGCAGTTAGGGCTTTTAGCTCCCTTGGGCTTTTAGCTCCCTTGTGCCAGACCCCCAGTGCTTCTTTTTGCTCTGGAACTGTGGCCCAAAACTAAGTATGGCTAATGAAGTTGCCAAACAGTGCCACCTGTACCAAGTGCCACCAGAGAGTCCCTTGTAATCTCTTTCTAACCAGTTGTCTAATTCCCTTATGGTTTCTGGATTGAGAGCTCCTGAAATTGCAGGTAATGCTGCCATTGTTAGAGCTGCCTCCAGAGCTTGCTGCTAATCTTGTGGCACATGCACTCTGAGCTGGCACACACCTACTACCCTGGTGTGAAAGATGTCTCCTCTGACCTTCTAAGTTGTCTTAAGCTAGAAAAAATATCTCACTTTTTGCTGGCTGCCACTCAGAAATTCTATTTGAGCTATTAAAGTTGTTTTAAGGAAATGTTGGGAGAGTTCAGTTGTGTAACTGCCTCTCCTCTGCGATCTTGTCTCAGTCTGACTTCCTGCTTATTTTTATGGTTTAAAAAAACTAGTCTGCAAAACTATTTTAGCCTTAAAACCACCATAACTATCAACACAAAATCAATACCAATTCTACGTGGGCACCAGGGCATTAGCATTGGTTTTAGTCTTTACTCAAAAATTCAGTAGCTGTGTGACCACAGCAAATCACCCAATATTTCTGACTCAGTTTCTTCATCTATAAAATGGACATAATAATATCTGCATCAGTAGTCATATAGCTTATAACAACACTATTTATAAGTACTTAAGCGAAAAACTAACTGACCTATAGGGAGAAGTTTACTGTGAAACAGTAATTGTTTTGAAACCTGTTTTATGACCTAGCTAGACCTGAGAAAAATAAAACATCCAGTTGAGGAGTGACCAATAACGTTATGACATGAATAAAATGAAATATTGTACCGTAACGCAATAGCAAATTTGAAGGATTCGGAAAAATTTTTAATTCTTTATAAAGTAATGCAGTTGGAAGGAAGCAGAAGTTGGAGAACATGTTATACAAAGCACTAATATTAAAAAAAAATCAACATTGAAATTTCAGAACTCTGATCTAATCTAATAGGATATATGAACCTTGAAGGTGGGGACTGTTTCATTTTTGTCTGTATTCTCAATGTTTCTGGCCCATAGGCACTTGATAAATTATTATTATTATTTTTTTATCAAATTCAATTGCAAGTCATGTCAAAGAGTGAAATATTTCAATATCCTTTTTGTCAGAGAGATCACCTGGTAGAGTATAGATGGGGAATAAACATTGATTTTTTTTAGACATGAACAATTGCTGTTTTATTTGATGATATTTCCTTAAAAGCCAGGTTGTTTTGGGATGGAAGGCATGTCATTGTGAAATGATAATGATATAAAGAGGAAAAGATCATTGATGAAACATTTTTAAAAAGTGAACAAATGCAAATATTTCTACTTTTTTGTTTTCCTGATCTTTACTATATAGTTTGCATCAAAGTGAATTAACAGTAGATCTTATTTGTTCTTTTAGGTGTGCACAAGCTGTGAAGATAATGCTAGTGCAGTTGGATTTTGTGTAGAATGTGGGGAATGGCTTTGCAAGACTTGTATAGAAGCACATCAACGAGTAAAATTCACTAAGGATCATCTAATTAGGAAGAAGGAAGATGTCTCAGGTAATACAGGGACTTTGATATTCGTTGTTGCCCTTTCTCACCTTCAGTACATGTATATGTTGTCTTGTCAGCACTAAATTGAGCCATAAGGGACCACTCAACTCTAGCAGATATGATTTGAGAGCAGGTAAGTTCCATAACTACTTTTTTTGGTATTCTGGAAAAAACAAATCACCACATTTGTGATTCACCTTGATGTCAGTTTGAGGGGTTAATTTTAAGACAATGAGGACTTGGCCATTTTAATGAGTTGTAATATAATTATTAGCCTCTTAAATTGACCTTGCCTGAAGAGCTCTGTAAAGCAACATATTATGGATAATCAGGAAGCCTTTTAAATTCTGTCTCAGATTTCATCTTACAATATGAAAATGGCTTATTTTGCTACAGAGGCTGTTGGAGCATCTGGTCAGCGCCCTGTTTTCTGTCCTGTCCACAAACAAGAACAGTTGAAACTTTTCTGTGAAACGTGTGATAGACTGACATGTAGAGACTGCCAACTATTGGAGCACAAGGAACATAGGTACCTGTGTTGAAATGCTTTACCTTATGTTTGACTTGCTTAGGTGAAGAAAATTTCAAGGAGCCCAACAATTTACACCTCCATTCTAAAATACAGAAATTATCTGAGAATCAGTAGTATACTTAAGATGTGAGAATAAGTTGTTAGTCAGCAGTTCTTTTCTTTTTTTAAGCAGTGGGTAGGATAAGTAAGTTTTGAACAGTCATAAAGAAGTCCATTTACAACCTGAATCTGACAACCAGAGAGTTTGAGTACAGGCAAGGTCAAATAATAGCTGAAATTTTTCCAGCTCTGATTAGTTGTACCTACACCCCTCGAGTGTTGTATGTAACCATCTAAATAGAATAGGGCATTGTGCTCAGTAGTCGGTTTTACTTCTGGTGGCAATTACTTGCACTGTCCTTAAAAGGGCCTTAGTACTGAAAAATTGGGAGCTCTAGTAATATAGCATCATTATTATCACAGCCCCAGTGATCTTTGGAGTGTGAAGACAGAAGATATTCCTAACTTTTTATGTTGTGTTGGCATGGGTAAAACAAAATGCATCCCTCATAGAGGGCCTCAAGAAAAATACATAACTTGGGCTTAACATAGCTTGATGCATCCACCTAGACACTTAAAGAGGAACTTGCTGCAAAGATATTTTCCCCTCGTTATATTTTTCTTCTAGTTTTAGTTGCATTGGTTTTCTTTGTATAAAAACTTTAAATTATATATGTAATCAAAATTGTTCATTTTATCTTACTGTTATATTTTTTATATCTTCTTTGGTCTTGAACTCTTTCCTTATCCATAGATCTTAAAGGTAATTTTGTCTTTGCTTTTCTGATTTGTTCGTGATGTCTCCTTTTGTGTCTAAATCATGTATCCATATGTAGTTTATCTTATCTTGCTGTGAGATGCTGGTGTATATTTAGTTTCTATCAGATTGCTTTCCAGTTGTCCCAGCGGTTTTGTTTGAAAAGTGAGTTATTAAAACAATAGCAGAATTTTTTGAGTTTTTCAAACATTAGGCTGTTGTATTAATTTTCTTCTGTATGTCGTATGCCTAATTTGTTCCAGTGGTTGACCTCACTATTTCTTAACCTAGACCAAATTGTTTTGATGATTACATTACTGTCTTGGATAGTTTGAGATCTGGTACTACTACAACCTCTTCCTGCTCCCTCCCTCCCCTTCCCCCTTCATCTGTCTTTAAATTCTTGATCTTTTCCTCCAGATGAATTTCATTATCATTTTTTCTCGTCTATAAAGCAGTCTTAATTTGATTGGTGTGGATGGTAGCAAATACATAAATTAATTTAGCTAGTACTCTCATTTTTATTCTATTGGCTCAGCCTATTCATGAAAAGCCGTACTTTTGATAACATCATCTCATTTATATGGCACTTGGGGTTACAGAGCACGTTCTTATCAACAACCATGTGAGATATAGGGTAAATATTATCTCAATCTTATAGAGAAGAAAATTGAGACCCAGAAAATGTTAAGTGGCTTTCCAAAGTCATGAACGAGTAATGCAGCCAGTTCTCAAATTCATGTTTCCTGATTTTGAGACCAGTATTCTTGCCAGTAAGTTCTGTTATCTTTCCTTATGAAGCACAGTTCGTTATGCTCAAGTTCAATATTGAAGCTGTTCTTGCTCTCCTATTCACTTTCCGTGATGAAATCCTATAGAGCAGGCGCACACATTTCATCCTGATGCTTTCTACCTAGGCTACACTCTAGATCCACAAGGTACTTCTGTCATTGTTGATTTGGATTGGCCTTTCTAACCACATTACTTTCATCTTTTTCCTCATTGTATTTGCTTCTTGCCTATTGAATATGAAATTAACATTTCTATAACTTTCTTTGGCATTCTAACCTGGGCTTAGAAAAAAAATTTTAAATACAAGGGCATCATACAGTGGATGAATGATAGTCCCTCAGAAAGAAAAGTCACATTTCCTGTAGGTAGTTGGTGATGCTGATTTGTGGCTCTGGAAGGGCTACAGGCTCATTTTCATTTTTTGTCAGTCAATAAACATTTATTAAGCACATTCTTTGTGACCAACACAGTGCCAAGTGCTGAGGACACTAAAAGGGACAAAGGACAATTTTTGCCCACGAGGAACTCACAAGCTAATATCTTTATACCCTTAAGGAGCTAGGTGGGAGATGTGGCAGTTGAAATTATTGAGAACTTTAAGAACTGAGGCAATTAAATCCACGAATATGAATATTGATTTATTAGCAAGGCACGCAGTTGCATAAAAAATTAGATACAAGGCCCTTCAGTGGGCATAATGACACCATTTAGTAGTTAACAAAATTTTCTTATAGTCAGTAATGAGAAACTATTCAACTTTCACAAACTTGAGTAACATGGTTGTTCTCTCTGATCAGAGTTTTAGAAAACTTGTGGTTATTTCGAGAATATCCTGGTATATTCTGTGGTTATTACAAAAACATATAAAATATATAGAACATTTTTGTGCTCAATACTCACTGCTTCAGTTCCTAGAAATATATCAATATCTTAGTACCCTCAAATTATAGGATTTACAGCAAAGCGAGGCCTAATTCACAAAATGGAAAGAACCAAACAAAGTGGAGTCAGTTTGATTCCTTCAATTTACCCCTTTGGTCCTTGGGACATTTATTCTCCATGAATCACTTGCCCAATCCCAAGTGGATAAGGCTCATTGTATGGTAGAATCCCTGTTTTGAGCTATCATCAGATTATTAGGCAATAGTTTTAAAAAGGTTTTAGTACAGCAAGCAATTCAGTAGCTAATTCAAAATCAAAAGACGGTTATGAGGCCTACAATAACAAGAGGCAATTTGAATATAGCTGTCTATATGCTACCTCCAGGAGGATAACCAAGAAAACCAGGAAAATGGGTTTTACCATGTGATATCTTTATTAGGGTATATGGGGGTGTTCAGGGAGAACTAGCAGCTCTGGTGTGAGGGCTTGCCAAACCCTTTTCAGGGCTGCTCATCTACCTTTGGTGATCACCTTCCTCCATCTCTCACCTGTGGCTTGAAGAGGCAATAGCATGGACAGTGGCCACACCCCGTAAAACCTTTTTGACAGACAGGCTGCACTAGGTTGAGGATAACTGACAGGTCTCAAACCTGTTGGTGAGTTAAGCGGATGTCTACCCTAAGCATATGAAGACTTCCTGTGGTGGAATGGACAGATGAGAAGAATTTGTTCTAGTGACCATGAAGTTGTCTGAAGTAGGCACTGTGAAGTGCTTAGAACTTGGTCAGACGTCAAAAACGCCGCTGCATCCCAGGTCATCACCTGTCATCCTGACTTTTGTCTTGCCCTTGGACTTTGTTGATTCTGCAAGAGAAAGTGAGACCGACGACTTTGTGCAACTCTGCCTCACTTAAATCCAATTCACACTTGAGTCACGACATCACCTTATGATGTCATTGGTCCTCTTTGAAATGAAGGCCAAACATCTTTATTAGGCCATTGGCTTTCTGCTACAACCTGTTGGATTTTGTAAAGGCTTGTTGCAGTCTTATCTAATCAGTTAATATAGGAACAATAGGATTGTAGCACAAGCCCATACTTTTGCCGCTGTAAGAAGATAGACAGCATGGTTTTACATGACTCTCACAGCTGCAAAAGGAGGTGATGTCTTGACTCGAGTATGAATTGGATGTAAGGATTTTACATATAAAATTGCATTAAGTTTGAAGGGATGTAATAGACTCACATTGTGGCTTGGGCCAACTTCTCGATCTCAAGAGAGGGATTTCTAACTGCCTGCTCTGAAGCAGTGATCTCAATATATGGATATGGACCACCAGAGGGCTTTTATTCCTAGTCTTTTTTCTAGTACGGAGTTCACTGAGAAAACTCAGTAAATACAAACATCATGATCAAAACAAAAACAGTACAATAATGACCACTATTAAATAATATTAATATTCCCTGCAACCTGGCAACCCACTTTCAGTGTTCATCTAAGTGGCACATTTCATCTTACATCCCAGATGTCCCATGTAGTCATCTGGTTCCTAGAAACATCTTTGGACATTCCAGAATAAGCTCCATTATGGGGCAGCTCTGAAGGGGTTCTTCCTAGAAGATCTGCTCTTCTCTCAGTATCAAGTCGGTTGTAAAGATTTCCAGGTTATTTTGCTTAAATCTGCCACTAATGAGACTCAATATAATTTATGCAATATTCTAAAATTTGTTTTCCAATAACTAGTTTATGTGTTCAAAACCAGTACAGACCTTGTGGTTCTAATTCTGTTAATAATGGAGCTATGAGAAGAACATTAAAATTACTAATAAAATTTTATATGTAAAATCCTTAATCCAGTTTTGAGAACTTGTTACTAAAACTCAAGTCCTGTATATTCTATTAGAAACATATGGAAGCCTAACTCTTAGAGACAACAGTCTGATACTATTTTCTCAAAATTAACTATTCCATTTAATTTTTTTAAAAAAACTTTTACATTCTTATCTAATTCTCCCCTTTTGCGGATATTGTCCCCGTATTATTCTGATAGAATATAACTATTAGCAAGAGCATGGCAAAGCTAGGCACTCATTAGTTGCTTAGGATACTGAGTCGACTATAAATTCAGATTGAGAATAATAAGATTTTTTAATGCTTACATCCTCTTATAGTAACTTAAATGTTTTAGTATTAAGTAATTAATAGATTGAGTATTGAAGCAATACAACTTTCACTATTTACCTGCCCTCTTTACGGAAATTTGCTGTGAAAGGAAATGAGAGGGACATTGGTTATCATCATATCAAAACTATCCTTTCAGGGTCACAGATATAAGCCATAAGGTATCTCTGTTTGAGTCATATTTGACAGCCAAACGTAATAAAGTTCCATTCCACATTATTTGTAGGGTGTCAAAAGGCAGGCTTACATTTAAACAGGTGGGAAAATTTCCTGTTCAGAAAGCAATAACACAATGGGAAAACTGAGTCAAGAGTCTCTTAATCTTTGCCTAAGCCAAGATCATCC